CTCATTACTTATCATGTTTAAATCTTCCTTTAAGTTTATATTTTTATTAAATTAATACATGTCCATAGTATATAAAGCATTGCTTTTTCAAGCAGTTTTAACTGAGACATGAAGTAAGAAATTCATTCTCTCTCTCCCTTTGATATATATTGTGGAAGCTGCAGATCAATTTGGGGAGTATTACCCCAACAATATTAAGTCATCCTGTACATGAGCACAGGATATTGTTCTATTTATTTTTATTTAATATGTTATAAAACACTATGAAGTGTTTAGTGTATAAGTTTCACACCTCTTTTGTTAGTTTTGTTGTTAATACACACTCGAGAATATTTTTCCACTGATTATTTTTTGAGACAGTGGAAGGGAGAGGGAGAGACAGAGAGAGAGAAACATCGATGTGAGAAATACACATTAATTGGTTGCCTCCCACCAGTGCCCCAACCAGGGGCGGGAATTGATCCTGCAACTGAGGTATGAGCCCTTGACCAGAATCATTGAACCTGGGACACTTCAGTCTGCCTGGTGGATGCTCTATTTACTGAGCCAAACTGACTGGGCTCTTTTGTTAATTTTTTTTTAAGGATTTCATTCTTTTTTTATGCTGTTGTAAATGGAAATTATTTTTCTGATTTCATTTTTGGGTTATTTTTAGCATATAGAAAGATAATTATTTTTGTATGTTGATCTTTAATTCTGAAGCCTTGCTAAACTGAACTGATTTAATAGTCCCAATAGTTTTTTAGAGGATTCCTTAGGATTAGAAATTTCTGTATACAAGACTGTATCATCTGAAAGTAGGGATAGTTTGATTTCATCCTTGGCATTCTAGGTTTCTTTTATTTCACTTCCTTGCCCTAACTAGAAGTTCTGTAAAATGTTAAATAGAAATGATAAGAGCAGGAATGCTTGTCTTGTTCCTGATCTTAGGGGGAAAGCTTTCAGGCTTTAAGACCATTAGTATAATGCTAGCCATGGTTTTTTTTTAAATATATTTTATTGATTTCCCACAGAGAGGAAGGGAGAGGGACAGAGAGCCAGAAACACCAATGAGAGAGAAACATCGATCAGCTGCCTCCCGCACACTCCCCACCGGGGATGTGCCCGCAACCAAGGCACATGCCCCTGACCGGAATCGAACCCGGGACCCCTGAGTCCGCAGGCCGATGCTCTATCCAGTGAGCCAAACCAGTTAGGGCAAGCCATGGTTTTTTAAATATACATACTCTACCAGGTGAGGAAGTTCTTTTCTATTCCAAATCTGTGGAGTGTTCTTATCATGAAGGGTTGTTGAATTTTGTCAAATGTGTGTTTTTTAATCTTTTGAGATTGTCTTAACTTTTTGTATTTGCTAGAACCTCCAGTATATTGTTCAACAGAAGTTGTGAGAATGGTCATCCTTGTCCTGTTTCTGATCTTAAGGGAAAAGCTTTCAGTCTCACTGATAAGTATGGGGTATATCTGCTCTCAACCCCACCACCAAAAAACAACCAGGTGTAAATATTTCACAATCTTATTCAAGGTTTGTTTATGTAGCCAAACTTTATACCATTTTAAAAATTACATTGGGTGGATAACCAAGATAGCAGTGTAGGTAAATGCCTGTACTTACAGCCTCCCACAACCAGATAAAAATTACAACTAAAATAAAGAACTAGAGGATAGAAAATAGCAGCCAAATAGGCAGCAGTGTTGTGCACCTCCTCTTAGGGCCAGGCCAGAAAAGCAACTAAATCAGAGAACATCCACCCTGAATTAATAAATTAGACACAGCTGAGGAGACAGTTTTCGATAAGGAAGGGCAGAGTTTGCCTAGAAAACACTGCTTGCCAGCCATAACCCACATGGAACCACCACCATGCCCTGGCAGTGAGTGGTGCAGTACCTCCCGGTAGGCTCCCAGAGGTCTGCAGGGTGCGGGCTGCAAGAGTGAGCTCCTGAACCAGCCTCCTCACCAGCCGCTGGGACCCAGCATCCTAGAATCCCACAGTGAGAGCAAGCCAGGTGGAACCCTGTTCCTCACCACCACCCTGGACCCAAGAACCATGCTGCTAGCCTGACCCAGAGCCACCCTGCACCTGCTCCACCCCCAGCACCAGGACTTGCTGTCGAGGCAACCCAGAGCAACCCAGGACACACCAAAGGGGAGCTCTGACTGTGCAACCCAGAGCAACCCATGCCCATTCCACCCCAGCATCCGGGATAGTCCTGCCAGGGCCATCTGGAACAACCCAATGTGCACCTCACTCCGGGTAACATGGGAGAGCGATCTGAGTGACACAGGGCAACCTGCCCAGGCCCCATGCTGAGGAGGGGTGAACTGGAGCAACCCAGCACAGGTCTCACACCAGGGCTGCACAGTGAATTGCATGTCAGAGGGCTCTGGGTACTCACAGGGAGTCACACATCAGAGGAACTGTGCACCCGCTCCCACTACCCTGAGCATCTGAAGCAGACAACTGAGGGACCAGATGCATGGGAAAAGGGAATAAAATGCAGAAGAGACAATATAGGTGTGAGATTCAAGGCAGACCCAGCCTTATAGGCTAATGATTTCTGGACCATTGCCCTGAGAGTTATTCAACCTCCCAAACCCCAAGCAGTGTGCCCAGGGTCAGAAAGAGAGAGCAAAAATGGGAAGAAAAAGAAACAACCCCCAAAGGAAAGAAAAGGAGTTGACAGGAAAGGAACTAAATGAAACAGAGGCAAGCAATCGGTAAGAAAAAAGAATTCAGAGTAAGGATCATATAGTTCCTAGACCAGCTAGATGAGAAAATCAACTTATGTAAGAATCAAGAGGAAATCAAAAGTGATACGGCTACAATAAAAAACACAATGGAAGGTTCTAACAGTAGACTAGGAGAAGCAGAGGACCGAATTAGTGATTTAGAAAATAGGGCAGAAAAACACACCCAACCTCAACAGCAATTGGAGGAAAAAAAATTAGAAAGTAGGAAGAGAGACTAAAGGAGCTTTGGTAAAACATGAAATGAAGTAATATACGTATAATAGGGGTGCCAGAAGGACAAGAAGAGGAGCAAGGATTAAAAAAACTTATTTGAAGAAATAATGACAGAAAACTTCCTTAATTTGGGGAAGAAAAAAAGACACAAAACACACAGAGTCCCGAACTATATGAACCCAAAAAGACCCACACCATGACACGTCATAATTACAATGGCAAACATTAATTAAAAATAGAGAACCTTAAAGGCTACAAGAGAGAAACAGAGAGTTACCTACAAAGGATCTCCCATTAGATTATCAAATGATGTCTCAACAGAAACACATCAGGCCAGAAGGTAATGGAATGAAGAATACAAAGTGATGCAAAGCAAGGGACTGAATCCAAGAATACTCTATCCAGCCAGGCTATCATTCAAAATTGAAAGGGAAATCAAGAGCTTCAGAGACAAAAAAGGTCTAAGGGAGTTTATTACCACCAAGACAGCAATGCAAGAAATGCTAACAGGACTGTTGTAAAAAAGAAGAAATAAAAAGGGAAGAAGGAACACAGACATAAAGAGCAGAAATGACTACAAACAAGTACCTATCAATAACAAACTTAAATGTAAATGGACTAAACGCTCCAATCAAAAGACATAAATTGGCTAAATGAATAAGAAAAAATGACCCATATATATGCTGTCTACAAGAGACCCACTGCAGAACAAAGGACTCACACAGACTGAAAGTGAAGGGATGGAAAAATATCTTTCAGGCAAATGGAAATTAAAGAAAAGCTGGGGTACCAACATTTATATCTGACAAAATAAACCTCAAAGTGAAGGCCATAACAAGAGATAAGGAAGGCCACTTCATAATACCAAAGGGGTCGATATAACAAGAGGAAATAACTCTGGTAAGCATATATGCATCCAATTGAGAAGCACCCAAATACATACAAAAAATACTTCTAGAAAATATCAAGGGAGAGATCGACAGTAATACAATTATAGTAGGGAAATTTAATACCTAATTGACATCACTGAATAAATCTTCAAGACAAAAAATCAGCAAAAAAAACCACAGCAATCCTAAACGATTCACTAGATCAGATGAACTTAATCAACATCTTCAGAACTTTTCACCCCAAGGCCACAGAATATACATTCTTCTCAATTGCACATGGGACATTTTCAAAGATAGACCACATACTGGAACACAGGCAAGCTCTCTTAAAATTCAAGAAGATTGAAATCATTTCAAGCATCTCCTCAGATCACAATGGCATAATATTAGAAATAAACTACAATAGGCGGCGGCATCTGCAGTGGCTGCGGCGGCGGAGGAACGGGGCGGGCCATGGCAGTAGGCGGCGGGAGGTGACGGAGAGAGGCGGGGTGGGGGC